GAAACAGTAGCTTGTTTATGGGTTAAGTAACTCAGAGTTGACCCAACAATAAACTGTGGGGTAACTGATTCATTAAATCATGAACAAACAAGGGTTTCTGCTTTTGCTCGTCAGGAAACAACTCAGGAACTTTTATTTATTTTAGGTATATGCTACTCTATTGGCTATAAGGATCTCTGGGCAGCTTACACTATAATCAACAGAACAGTACAATAAAACGAGCAATTGCAATAAAACCAAAAAAAAAAAAAAAAGAATCAAGAATAATCAACAGAAGTAAATAAGCAGTTAATAAAATAAAGAAAATGAACTGAATTGAAATGAAATGAGAAGAGAAACAATATATTACACAGATTAAAACAACCAATAAAATAAATGTAGTCATACATAATTGATTCATAACATTATAAACTGGCAGCAACAATTAGCAGTATTAAAAATCTTTAAAACCATCCATTAAAATCACAAAGCCAACAGCTTCACCCATCAGAATGCTCGTGGAATAGGAATGTCTTCAGTTGCTATCTAAAGGAATATAATGATGTCAACCTGATCCACAGCGGAACTGAGTTTCAAAATTGGGATGCTTTGATAGAAAAGGTCCTCTTTCTTGCCATCTCCCTGCTCACTTGTATGTCCCCCTTCAAGATATCATTCTTCTGTTGTTAATGGAGGGCTCATGGGGGACAGCCTGCTCATCATGTTGTCCATCCCTAGCAATTTCTTGATTAAGCAGCCTAGGAATAATTACTTAGAATAATGTAAGTAATATTACATTGCGTGAGTAAATTTATTGTTTCACATCAAGGAACAAGAAAAATTGGAATCAGGAAATAAGAAAAAGTGAAGTCTACTTACAGCTCAAATAAGCTAAGAGCACTTGGTAAGCACTTGACATACAAAGACATAAATTACTCAGGTTCACAATACCTAGCTGACTTTCTTCCTTTATCTGGTCAATTCCTGAGAACTTCTGAGGCTTTACAGTGGAATGGCCAGAGGAATGTTACCACGTGGCTCTATATAACCAGGCCTTCTCTGTGATGGCACCCATGCTTTGGAGCAGTCTTTCATGTATGGTTTAACAGGCAGAAATGGCCTAGTTTTAAATCTCTTCTGAAAATATACCTATTCACACTCGATTACAAATGTCACTCTATTACATTTTATCACTAAGGCATTATATTTTTTTATTTTAAAAAATAAAACATATTTGTATTTATTTGTTTTCTTCCAATGACAGAGTAAACTCCTAGTAGATACGCAATTCATAATTTGAAATGAAACAAATAATAAAATTCAACTTTTATCAGTAAAATTGACCCTAGAGTAAAGCAACTGGTGCTGAGTCCTGCATGTTATTATCCAATACAACCTAAAGAGAACCAATTTTTGTATTAAAAATAATATTTACTGATTCTAATTATATAAATTAATGTCATCATTCAAGCTATATCCCAGTCCCAAATACACCAATAACACATTGCTGGGCGATTAACTCCTTTTGAGCTATTGAAAAGTTCTGAATGATTTAAATTATTTATTGTTTTCCTCTCATTTCTACATTCTCATTTTGTATTTTAATGTGAATTGTTTTGCAATTTAAATATATTAAACAATAATTAGTAATAATAAGCCCCTTTCACACAATTTGAAGTTAGTGAAAAGGAACAGTCTTGGTGCCAGCAATTTCGAAAGGTGATTTCCTCTACTATGTATCATAGCAGTACTTTATACTAAGAACAAAACTGTAGGCATGACTTTGGTTGGGATCTATATCTATTTAAGCTGTTCTGAGAGTACAATCCCACTAAAAAGAGCAGAAGTCTCTAAAATTAGAGGCTTGTGCTCATTGAATGCAGAATGAAGCTCGGGCAATCTTTGCCTCCCCATTTCTCCTGTTCTGCTTTTTTGCTAGATGGCTGATTTCAACTATCTACTGACAGGAATTCAGAATTTAAGGAAAGAATCAGAAAAGGCTACAGAATACACTGTATCCTGGTGGCCCCAGTCTCCTTTCCTCCCACTGAAATGTCCTCTTTACCCTTTCTGCAAGGCTGCTTTTCCATCTGCAGAGAAAATGTGGTCAGGTTCTATGGCAGGTGCAATATGGTGGGAAGCTCCATGGGTACCATTCTAAGCTCCATGGGTAAAGTCGCTTACTTTGGCGCTGGAAATCCAAACTATCCCATGTCCCCCACAATGTCTATAGGATCATTCTCCAGGTTACTGAAATGCAGTTTCTTTAAGCGAGTAAGAAAGCAAATAGCATCTGTACAGTTGTTCCTGAAAATTAATGAGCTGAATAAAAACTATACTATTTATATAAACAGCTGGAGTGCTGTTACTTGCCAATATGATGGTGCTGAATGTTAATCATAGTTATGATCAAGAACCAATAGCCAGTACTTATCAACAGGATTAATAACAAAATTTTAATGGTATACTTCCCTCTGAAATAGATAGGACTCCCAGACAGATATACTATGGGGAATAAACTGATTTATGTAGCAGTACACCCATGAAAGCGCACGAATCTTCAGCCTACTTAATGTATGAAGCCCACCTAAGACTTGAGTATCTTTCCTAATTTCCACTTTTTCAACAGTGTTCTAAAGAGATATGAACTTAAAAAATAAATCATAAAAATAGTGCAGATAGGGTACAATCTTGTGCATGTTCAGAGGAAAAAGAAAGAAAGAAAGAAAGAAAGAAAGAAAGAAAGAAAGAAAGAAAGAGAAAACAATCTACCATTACACTTTCCAGCACTGGTAGATTTCATGCCAGCTTTGATAAAAGTAGTCAACAAAAGAAATGCATTCTAATGTACACTTTTGAACTAAGACATGAACAGAAACTGGTGTTCAAATTTTGCAATGGCATTCTTAGAAAATGAGCACAAAATGCACATATTGGGTGAAGGTGCACAGAAAACACCTGCAGGTTTGTGAAAATAATGTCTAAGAATAGAGATAGTTTACAAAAACTGCATGTAAAGTTCCTAGAAAAAAATGTGCACAAAAATGCACAAGAATTTTCATATTGATTTTTTAATCACAATGTTTGGGACCAACCAAACTTCAGATTGAAAAAATGTGAACTGAAAGATACAAATTCCTCTAGCCTTACATATACAAAATTAGGAAATTTTGTTAAACTATCAAACACATTAAAACAAACCAAAATAAACTAAAGTATATGCACATTCTTATTTTGCAAGTTTCACCAAAAATGAAATCCAAATGAAATGATATTAGTCAAATTTTGAGTAACTCTCACAGATATTGAGGTACAGAGGACAAAACCACGGTGCAGGCCCATGAATGACATGATATACAATTCTGTCAAGTGTTATTTTATTAACTCAACTATAGAGTTTAAAAAATGGATACGCCATGTATTCCAAAACAAATGGAACTAAATATAGGATTCCTTGAACAGTCCACCTGACTATTGTACATACCTGTGGACTAGAACTGAGACTTGTGCTTTGTGAAGTTTTCCTGAAGGAACAAGTGGTTTCTTATAGTGCTTTCTTATGATGGTGATGGGACGGGGAGGTTGGAAGGACAACACCAAAAATTGCTGCCCTTGCTCTTTCTCAAGTGGAAACCTATGTTTCCTCCAAGAACTAAAGAGGCTTTCCATTCACTGAGAGTTATATCTGGATCTATCCCCACATTAATAGATACTTCTAGAGAGATTACTGCTTAGTAGTTATCATGCGAACAGGAATTAACAATTGGCTTACTGGATCAGAGCTGCATCCATCTAGTCCAGGATTCTATCTCCATTAGATGCTACTGGAAGCCTAAAAGCAGGACATGAAATGGTGGCCATCCTGTTTTTTGTCCCTATAATTGTTATACATACATTGTCTTTCAATAGGGAGCACATGTATGCAGAATTCACAGTAGTTCATTTAGAGTGTTCATGTTTCTATCAAATCTTCATAAAATAGATTTATGATAAAATTAACATAAATATGCATTGATTACATGAAAACATTTTATAATGTTATAAAACCACTTTGAGCCTATTATCCAGTGATACTGATATGGATAAAAAGGATCACAAATGGAAGCAAAGTAGCCACTCATACTATACTCTAAACATGGTTCTGCATTGTCCTGTAAGTTTTTTTGGTTTTACTTACATAAGCAAAAGAACACCTCTGGATTTAGTTTCACTTTTTTCATATAGTGTTACATAGAAAAATACTTAACAGACCTCCTGAGAACAAAACACATCTTCTTGATGTGGTATACCTCATTTAATTCTAAATATTACACCAATATGTACAGAATTGGGAAAAAAGCCGTATGTGCTTTGTATACACATTTCAGTATACAAATGTGGTGCAGCTCTATATAAGCTAAGTCCATATAGACCTGCTTATAAGGGGAAAAATGGAGCAATACCACAACTGCTTATAAAACCTACTTTCCTTGCCCAGTAAATATACAGCAGCATTAATGTTAACTAGAATACTTACATTATCTTTTACAAATGGCGCATAAGCATTATCACACACAAGCAAAGCCTGTCCATGCACTGCAAAAATACGTATAATATAGAACGCCCCAAAGGGCTGCATGCTGAGCTTTATATATAATCTGGAAGTTCTGCATCACCCTTTCCTGACAGAAGCTCCCTGAGCAGTCATGGCCAACTCAGCAATTTCCCAATGCTGCTGTTGGATAAGAAGTGAGAGGATCAAGTGAGTAGAAGCAAGTCCTGTGTGCTATCTCGATTGCAACCAGAGAGTATTGCACATGGACTTTTTTAAAAGTATGCACAACTATCTTCAGGAACAAAGTTTCATAATTGATTTCATTTAATCAGTTTCAATATTTATGAAAAAGCATTATATATCCATGATCATGAGTGTATATATGCAAATGAAAAAAAATAAAACCTTAACCCACCATATCTTTTTCTCCAGTCTGAAAGTTGCCACTCGTGAAAAGTATGGTGTATATGGTAGAATGATACTGTACCTGATTAGCTCTGGAGGTGGTCATGGGGTCAGATGGAGAGGACTTGGTGGTAGTTGGGGATGATGGCAATGTCTGGGAACAAAGCAGTTCAGGAGCAAATCAACCTCAGCAAGCCTTTGACTGAACAGTTAAAAAAAATCAAACAAATGTAATGTAATAGAAAATTAAACAGAAAAAGCCTGAAAACTGAATTTATCTTCCTCATTGGAACTTAATGGAATTTAATGCCAATCAAGCAAATAACTAATGCATGTAAGTATGCATGCATATGCAAGTAAAACAAATTAATGGCTCAAAATTAAGATGGTAAACTCACAAAACAAGAAAAATACGCTGACCATATGATAATATTTTTTTCCATACTTATTTCTTAGGGAAAGTAAAGACTAGTAAAAGCAAACACAAATTCCAACAAGTTCAATGAGCAGATGTGCTATTTAATCTCCATTCTGATAAATAGGGTTTGAAAGAGTAAAGTTCGTATTTTGGTAAAATGTCCTTTCCCCGTACATCTTGGTTTTTCTTATAGAGTTGACTCCACATAAATTTGGTAATTCACATATTATTTAATTTTTTAAAACAATATACAGCCAAAATTATTGGATGGTCTTTACAGCTTCTGTATCATGGATTATGAAGCTATCAATTCTGCAATGGGTAAAATTACAATTAAAAACATCACCACAAAAATTCAACAATACTTAGCCGTCTCTTATTACTTCTTTTAAAATGGCTGAACTGCTGTGAAATTATGAAAAGTTTATAATAGCTCTAACTTCTTAAGTGCAGGCATATAAAATTTACAGACAGCTTCATCTCTCTTAAAATGCAGAGTATTCTGATGCCAACGTAAATGTATTGCCTAATCCCAAAGAACAATGGTATCTACAGATAAAGGCAAAGATAGCAGTAAGGTAAAGAAATGCCTTTGTATCAAAGGTAACTCCTGAAAGTACAGGGCAAGGCTTTCCTCATGAGTAGGCCTGTTCTGGAGTAAACTGAATGATCTGCAACTGAGTTCTCAGTTGGGCTCAGGACTATTAGACTTAAAACCTTATGTTTTTAAGGTTTTATGAACAAGAAAGTTGCAGGAACACTTGTTCGGCATCCACTTTTGCAGTCTTAGGATGACTTTCAGATTTTGCCTTTGAAATTGACTACCTTGTTCTCTGCTTGGATTCTGCCTGCTAAAACATGCCTTGAAATCTGAACCTTAGGTTATAGAGGCACAAGGGATTATTTACTGTTGGAAGAAAGGATCAATGATGGGTGACTGAGTAAAACTGGATGCAGAGATATTACAAGATTTTGAGGAAGTTACAAGAGTCTGAGGTAAGGATAGGTGCTGCCTGTAGCAGGTTCCATTATACATTTCTTTTACTCAAGTCCTGCCAGTTAACATTCTTTCAACTTCCCTAAGAGAATATAATTTTGGTATAAAGTTAAAAGATGCCACAGTCCACTTTTGGTATAATTACATTATCAAAGTAGGAACATAAATTGCTTTGCCATTACTGCTATTAATTATTCCACTTTCATGTATGTACTTATAAAATTATTATAATACCGTAATTTCCAGGTAGAGAAATGACATCAAGGAATCTATACTTTCTTTTGAAAAAAGGGAAAGGGGTCAGAAACTGCACCATAGGTAACAATCCTGAAGGTGAAGGTCATAATAGAGAAACCTGCTCCTACACAGTTTTCCAAGAGATGCAGTTAGGGATATGTGAGGAATCTGTTGGGTGGGGGTGGACTTTGATGCATTTTAATTATTACTTTCTATATCACCCAATAGCTGAGGCTTTCTGGATGGTTTACAACAGCAATTTAAAAATACAGTATAGGGTACAGCATATTAGAACATCATAAAAAGCTTATCACACAACATTTAAGCTAAATTTAAAACTGATGAAAAAATTACAGTAATTTAAATAAAATCTTAAGTCCTGTTTAGCAGCTAACAAGTCCCAGTAAACTGGCTGCCCTGCAGTACAGGATACTCTTTACCTGGCACTTAAAAGTTAATAAAGCTGGCACCAGGTGGGCCTCAATGGAGAACTTGCTCACTAACTAGGAGAGGTGGGCACCACTGAAAGGACCATTCACCTTGTTGCCACCAATGGAGCCAATAGGAGGTGGCAGTTGCAGGCAGGCTGCAGATCTTGCAGGCAGATGACATCTGAGAGAAGTGTTCCATCAGGTATTATAGTCCCAAACTGTGTAGAGCTTTATTGGTTAAAACCAGCACCCTGAATTGGAACCAAAAGCATATAGGCAGGCAGTGCACATGGGCCAAAATTGGTGTTACATGCTAAAGCAGTCTGGTCCCTGCCATTAGTCTGGTTGCCACATTTTGTACAAGGTGCAGCTTCCAAACAGTTTTCAAGAGTAGCCCCATGTAGAATCCATTGCAGTAATCTAGTTTAGAATTACCAGAGTATACGTAGATTACTGACAGCAGAGCCACAAGCTGAAACTAGTAGAAGGCGCTTGAAGCCACTGAAGCCACCTGGGCCTCAAGTAAAAAGATGGTTCAAAGGACCATCCTCAAGCCACAAACCTACTTCAGAGGGAGTGCAACCCCATCTAGAACAGGTTGAACACCATCCATCCAGTCAAAGGAACCACCCACAAACAGTATCTCATTCTTGTCTGGATTGAATTTCAGTTTCTTAGGCCTCATCCAATCCATTGGCACAGTCAGACACTGTTTTAGCATGTCCACAGTCTCACCGACTGAAGATGGAGAGACAGATCCATGAGTCATCAGTATATTGATGATAAGGCACTCCAAAATTATGGATGACCTTTCTTGATGGTTTCATGTAGGTGCTAAAAAGCATGGGAGATAAGACTTATCCCGAAAAACCCCATACTGGAGGATCCAAGGGACAACACAATATGCCCCAAGCACTACCATCTAAAGCCTACCATCCAAATAGGAGCAGAACTTCTACAGTGCAATGTCTTTCACACCCAACTCAGAGTCACTATTGAAAGAAACCCTGGTTGATGCTGAGAAATCCAGGAGAACTAACAATGTCTCATTTCCCCTATCTCTCTCCTGACATAGGTCATCATATAGGGTGACCAATGCTGTTTCCATGCCAGACCCCAACTGAAATGGACCCAGATAATCAATCTCATCCAAGAGTGCCTGGAGTTGGTTTGCTCTGGATTCTATTTCATTTCCCTCAGACTGGTCCTGATTCAATCTGCTGTGAGATGCCTGAATGTGGACTGCAGTTTTTAAAATCAGCTGAGTTTTGTCCAAGTTTATTTAAAAAGTTCAGGAAATTTCTGCAAAATCAGTCTCTATAACTTGCTGAAATTTTCTGAGCTTTTTATAAAAACTTCATACAAGTTATGACCATTTTTAAAAACAAAAAAGATCAACTATTATATGCATAACACTGGTTGAATAACAAAAGGTGGACAGACAGACTTTAAAAAGTGACCTCCTGTACTCAAGTCATCAGAGCTGAAAAAAATAACTGGAAATAATTAAATATGTGTCTATTTGATGTATGCATAAGTCTAGCAGAAAACCGCAGTGCTAATGCTGAACTAGACAAAATTGACAAAGACATATTCTTTGTGAAGTAGGGAATATAGTGAACTAATGAGGAACTAGTATGAGGATGAAACTGGCAAGGATATTTACCAAGGGATTATGCTGTGCCCAGGATCATGTAACAGACTTGGAAATGTGATAAAATATTAAATATAGTGCAAACCCATTTATGCACATGTAAAGATTAAATGCGAAATGCTCAATTTGTGCTAATAACACTACAAATATGCAAATCTTGGTTTTCAATGTTGACTACTATTTTGCCTACATTTGCAGAATCTGAAAAAAGATCCAGTGTAGATGTTTCCAATTGGTTTATCAAAAAGGCTGAGAGTCTGTCAGACTTAAACAAAATGTTGTATATCCCTGTGTCCTGCAATAAGAAAAAAGAGTTGCATAGTATGCCTCTGATAAGGAAAAGAAGTAGAAGGCAACTGGGACAATGGCTGGACATAAGGTTTGCTTGGGAACAGCTGAAATTAAAGGATAAACATATATAAGTTTAAAGGTTAAAGATATATATATATTCCCAGCAACATTCATGTGTACTAACATCAGATAACCTTATTTACATGCTGGTACTATGACACTGGAATAATTTAATAATTTAGAATAATCAAATAACTTAGAATTGAATCCAATTGTATCATCCTGCTGAAAAGCCTACTTCCATAAGCAGAACCAAGAAGAGGTGATTCATCCTCTCATGTGTGCCCTCAGAATGTGTTCTAAAGGCCTGGGAAAACTGGTAGATCAGATTTTAAAATGGTATAAAGGGCTGCAGTGGGAAGGCAAGATGAGAAAGTCCTATTGTGCTAGCAAGCATCCGCTACTCTAAAGTTGGATTTAATATAAACAAGAACACCAACTGAAAAAACAGATGCTTCTGTGAAAGAGCTACAGATAACATTTCATTTAGATGAATATTCACATACTGTCAGTTTAAATTCTGTTAGTGAAAGAATAACTCAAAATTTGGACTAAGCAACAGAAATAGGACGAATAAACACTTATAATTTTGCATACTCTATGATAAATATGGCAATAATTCTCCACCCAGTAATATTTAAAGTTACTGACATTTCCTTTACTAAATAAGGATGGACATTAAAAATCCCTTGTAAATATCAAGAAAATTGTCATACACGTCCTCCATTTTTTTCTGTTAACAGCAACTTGTCATTAAAGATAAGTATATAATCCTTCGCTGAAACAAGTAAGTTCTCACAGAATCAAGGTTGAACTGTGCATTAGCTTATCTGCAAGGCACAGACTTTGAAAAAGCAGTCTAAAAGCCTTATTAAAAGTATCTTAATTGATCTTTTGTGTTTTATTTTATGGATTGATGAAATTTACCTAAATATTTCTGAAGAAACATGTTTTCTGTTTTTAGATTATACAGACATGTGCCACAGTAGACATCTTAGATGACAGGGGCTGACTGTATGTGAAAGAAAGGAGAACAGTTCTTTTAGGGCAGTGGTTGCCATTTCCA